TCGCAAAACTTGCACTCTTGAGGTCGTATTGCACTCCATCTCGGGACAATAGCCAAGAAAGATTTTTGAGCGATGCATGCTGTAACCATCGCAGGTCTACTCGACCGAGGTGAGCCACTTCTGTCGCTCTATCTGTGAAAGTGTGAAGGTTCAAGACGTTCGTGGCATCCACTACAACGCTACCATCGCTGTGAAATGTGTCATGAAATTTGGGTAGAAAACATTTTGCCCTCCCACTCACACGCTCAGCGATTCCGCCTCGAGCATGTTCAGCCACCGATACACCAACAAGGGCCGCTCCAGTTTCCCACAATGTGGGTTGAATGCGGATTGATACTGTTCCAGACCAATTTGGGGTAATGTAAATGGATTGGGTCTTGCCTCCCCCCCCATAAGGCGTCCCCAATAAGGCGATCAAGGTATCCGGATGAAGCAGCCCATTTCCCAACAGTTTTTGCAGCCATCGTGATCAGCTCAGTCGTAATACATGGTGCCGCAAGCCCCCCCCCTGCGCGATCGGTAGTTCTGTTTGTTCAGCAGGGACCCATGGTCTGTTCCTTTTTCCGTCTCGGGTGCCCCAGATAAAATCTTTAATTAGCTTGCTTAGTCGGAAAATAATAGCCTTCGACGGCCAGCAGTGCCGAGCAACGTACAGGAATTTGGGTACAGCAATGGCTCGAACCAGGTGGGAACGCTGTTCGACCGAATGCGTCTTTTGACGGGCCAAAGCTAAACGTGCCCATACTGCTTGGATACAGATGTCCCAGTTGATAGTAGAAAAATCGCCATGCCCAACTTGAACACCAAGATATCGGCAGTGGTTAGCTGGGTTCAGTAACGTTAGACCGAGTGTGTGATCCGGTGACAGTGGCGTTTGACTCCCTAGCTGAACGACGATCGACTTGTTCTTGTTTATAGCCAACCCCGACACATTTTGAAAAGCTCCAAATATTTCAAGCACCTTAGGGATATCCCGATAGTGGGCGAGATAAACGGCCGTGTCATCTGCATAACCAGATATAACAATAGTTTCTTCCCTTCCAGGTGAAGCGATTCGTACTCCATGAATATCTGATCGCATTCGAAAAACCTTGTACGCGCTGTCCAGTGCGAGAATGAAAAGCAAAGGAGCCATTGGGCAACCCTGTCGGATGCCGCAGTTCATCTTGACCTTTCGCGACAGAAATCCATTGACCAAGAACTTGCATGTAGTGTTCGCGTGGAGCGCGGATACGATGGCGACAAATTTCTGCGAAAACCCCAACCATTTGAGAACCGCTAGTAAATAGGGTCGCTGCAAGGTGTCGTACGCTTTAGCAAAGTCCAAAAGGAGAACAATTGCATCTTTTGTGGCGTCTTCAGTCGTTGCCGCGATCTTCGTCGCTGCAAATATATCGAGTGCAGTCGCGATATTGCGACCAGGTACAAATCCAACTTGTGCAGTGTCGACCACGAATGGCAGCATCGCTCGTAGCCTGGTAGCTAATATTTTAGTAAAAATCTTGTAATCGCTGTTGAGTAAAGCGATTGGCCGATGGTCTAGCGGTCGAGAAGACGTTGATGATTTCTTGAGACAGTGAATGTTGGCCTCGCCAAATGAGCAAGGCGTCACTCCACACTCAAGCCATCTGGTGTATAATTCCGACAGGATGGGTGCAAGTTCTTCAGAGAAATCCTTGTAAAAACTATTGCCAATTTCATCTGGTCCGGATGCTTTTCCATGTTTGCACTTCTTAATAGCGGCTAGGACATCGGCAGAGTCAATTGCAGATACCACTTGTTCGTCATTTAACGACGGGGGCGTAGGAGCTCTTGCAAGAAAACGCTCGGTACACTCCTGATCATCGAGATGTCGATGTAACAAATCCGCCCACCCATCAGCCATGTCATTAGCCAGATCTCGCGACCGATTGGGTCCGTATGGGGCGGGTCCACCGAGTGAGGTAATAGTGTTGTCTCTAAACTTTAAGGACACTCGTGCAAAAAACCGGCGGGTAGTTGCTCCAGGTCTGTATGTGTGTTGTCGAAGTAGTTGTTCCCTCTTCCGCCGTTGCCAATTTCTACGACATTCGGCCACCTTTTGGCGTAAAATAGTAACAGTTTCGTCGGTGTTACGGCTAGAGACCTTGGCCGCGTGAAGATTTACTTGGAGGCGTCGCAATCGATGACGATAACTATTAGTCATCTTCTGACGTATCGTGCGTGAGTCGTTCAGTAATGCCCTGCGGAGACCCACTTTCCACACGTCCCACCACCGCGCTAGATTGATCGCCGTAGAGACATCAGTCAGAGGTAAATGTCGGACTGACTCAAGAATCAACGAAGCTGAGGTTAGGGCTTGCGTAATAGTGTTCTTAGCTGTGGAGTGCACCACAGCAGCGACAGGGTATACCCGGCGTGGTTTTCGCTGTTTAACAACTGTTTTCGGAGCTGCGAGACGAACGGTAACTCCATTGTGATCCGAATTTGGCCCAGGAACTGACATGCTGGTGTCTCGGATCCAATCGGACACCCTGGCGCTAACATACCAGCGGTCCAACCGAGAGCTAGCCCGCACTCCTCCTTGCAATGTATAGTTGTATGTGTGCGTTTGTGAATGAAACACGGAGTGGCCTCGCTCTGCTAGCGCAATCTCTATGTCATCCTCAAGCACATCCACAATCTCCCTGGAATCCAGTAGACGCCGTAACTCAGGTGAATAATGATGGGTTCCATTGGTAGTAACATGTGACCGGTCCAGACTAGGAAACAGAGTACAATTCCAATCACCCCCTAGTATTACCGGTCCGGCAAAGCTCTGAAGCGCTGTCGTGAGCAATTTGAACAAACTTTCTCGATCATTCCGAGCGTTTGGCGCGTAAACATTCAGTATCAAAAACTCTTCATTGTGTATTGTGACAGTCGAGCCCATCCAATGCGGTGTCCATGCCTCCTCCATCCAGGGCGTAATCGCCTGAATTGTCGAGTATGGATTGAGTAGTATTGCAACACCACCCCTACGCTTGGAAGACTCCGACCATAGCGTCATACCCCGTTTCTCATCTGAATTAAATCCCCAAGTAGCACAATAGAGTGTATCAAGTCCATGTGCCTCACCGACCAGCACGTGCGTCTCCTGAAGCAGCACAACATCGAGGGGTCCCCGCTCGTCGTGCTGACGGAAGTTGGAGAACCATTGTGCACAAAGCACTGGGTCTTTAGGAAGGCCTTGGACGTTCTGGGAGTGTAGTCCAATTGAGTTTTCTAGCGGGCGTCTTGCCCGATCAACCGGGAGGGCGCATTTAGGTGGAGGAGACGACATAGTCCGGTCGGCAATTTCACGCCACGTAGACTGGGTACGCATTCTCGCTTGTATATGTGCCGACTGCACCACGGACGCAGTAGTTGATACCTCAGCGATGCCCTTAAGAGCGGAGGGGAACCACCCGATTCTCATCAGCGATAAGACTAATAGCCGTACTCCAGTCTGCCTGTTTGGATACAATACTGGAGACGGCTGTGCGTATAGAGACAGAAGAGTGGTAAATGGACGCTTTTGTCTGAGGCCATACGACCGCGAACGCATTGTCCGCTGGTGCCAGGGTAGGCAGCATCAAGCAGAGAACATTTAACACGCCCCAGTCATCGGTAGCGATAGGGTCCACGACAGTCGCGCATAGCAACTCTGGGTGCAATTTACGAACTTTCCTCCAGCGTTGTATGGAGTCCGTAGTTTTCCACCTGATAACGCCTAGCTGTTGCGACGCCACCGCATCCCATGAGCTGCAAAACCGGTTAAGTTCCAAATCGGCATGGGTGGCATACCGGCGAATGACCGCAAGCTGGGTCTCGCTATTGATGGCATGCCCAAAAGTTTTTAGAGTCGTTGGCGTCATGCATTTAAGATACTGGATTGGAAAAGGTAGCGCCATCACGAGTCCTACAAGCTCCGCAGTACAGTGCCGGATCCATTCATTTTGACCAGAAGCTGTAGTAGGCAATACGTGAGGAATACTAACCACACAGGAGCGGTTCGCAACCCACTTCTTGATCACCAGTAAATTGGCTGCTGCGCAACGTGAACCCTCGGTCAGTGCAGCCGCAGCTATCATTGGCGACGCATTCAAGGGGGACTTGCGGACTCTGGACGCCGTGAGGGTACGTGCGTGCTTGTCAGATGCGCGCGCGGCAAGTTGATGGTCGTGAAAAATCGTTAGTTCAAATGAAGGCGAATTCTCAGCGGGATCCACCGCAGGAGCACTCAGCGGAGGAATAGGTGGGTCGTCTGATTCAAAAGTCGCTGCAAGCGCCGCAGGAATCGGGACCTTGTCCTCCAAAAACACAGGGTCTCGTGTGTCCGGACTCAATCCAGCGTTATGGGATTCGGTGTCGCCGAGCTCGTCTAGCCGCATTGTGTTCTGGGGCATGTATACCGACTCCATATCAATATCCACAACGGCCTCGGGGTCGCCTAACGAGGTGTTTGCATAATGAACTGCGCCATCTACAGAAGTGCGATCAAAAGTGTTGGGGGCCTCGGCAGTGGTGCCTGCTCGTGCGCTGGCGTGGTCCATAGATTCCGAGTCATAAGCCTCCTCTGACGATCCCGAAGTGGCAGGGTCTACATTCTGACGGCGTTTACGCATAAACGTAAGGACGAATCCGAGAATAGCTTCTCTGCTATGCTGGCGTAATCGATCAGCTATCGCGTCGGGTGTATCACTGATAGTCGGTAGAGGTTCAACCGCGCAAGGAAGAGGTTTCATGACCGGCAATTCGGACGGAGGCAAACGGGCAAGTTTCTTCACCAAGCCACTGTGTACAGCTTCTGCTCGCGTGACGGCCTCGGTTGCTGCGGTCTCTTCAGATACTGCGACGCGGAAACGATGTTCAAGGTCCAAAAGAGTTGATTCCTCAGCCCGATGCAGACCCGACGAAGCACTCGCGTCCGGGTCCGAGAGAAAGGCCTTTTCGATCAACACAGAGTTTGTGTCATGATAGGCAGCCTTCGCCAGGCTTGTATGGTCCCGTGCTGTGGCAGCAACGGACCGCAAGTCCACGAGAGTAGCGTTAATTGCATCCGTTTGAGTGGATAAGTATGAACGCTTGACAGAGAGTTTTGTAACGTCCTCACTACCCAAAATGGGGTCAGTAATGGGTGCAGTAGATTCCACATTTGTACCAGTGCGGATGTTGTTGAGCACCGCTAGGGCAGCTGTAAATTGTTTCGTCTTTCCAACTTTCAGCCGAGCCGCAGTGTTTGTCGAAGATGATTTCACTGGTCGCGGTGGCAAGTTAGTAGGTGTAGACTTTGTAGGCCCCGTGTCTGTATGGCTTGCAGGAATCGTTACCTGGGGTTGAGGTAGAGTTGTTCGGTCGACGGCCGTGTGTTTCGGTCCAGGTTTTGCAGGAATGGTAGCACGTGTCACTTCCTTGCGATTGGGCTCCTTGGGAGTCGCAGCAGGCGGAGCGTGCTTGCCTGATCGGTGTATGTTACTTTTCGTCGCTGTTTTGCGCTTTCTTCCGTCCCCAGGGTCAAACCAGCCGTCGGTAGGGCGAGGAGCCATTCCTGAATCGGTTGCATCCTGTGGGTAAGGGTGAGACCGTGCTGATGAAACTGGGGAAGGAGGTTGACGTTCCGGGCGCATCGAGTCATCCCGTGCGTGGTCAGGCGGTACAGACATACGCACCAGGAGTGGCGTCGCGCGAGCCTCCTCGTGTAACTTTTCCTTCGTAGTGTTGAGAGAACTGGATAGACTTTGAATGTGAGCAAAACGGCCCTCTACATCCAGGTGGGTAAGCGTTAATTCAGGTACCAACGATAGCGAGTGAGATGGCTTCGAAAAATTGCGGTGGTGTACAGTCTGGACTGTAACGTCTTGGCCGGTGCATCTCGAGATTGTGTGGAATGGCGAGTAGCATCCAAAACACGGGACCCTCTGGTATTGACGGAAATGGTGCAAGAACAGAGAAAGTCCCGGCGCCGAGATATGCGTGACTTGCCGAAGCTGGTGTGGGCATTCTGGTGTATCGAAAGTAACCAAGAAAAAGTTCGAGTCGTAAAGTTCCGCCGACGCCAAAGGCGCCCGAGAGACCGAAACAATGGAACAGTCAACACTCGCAGACAGGAGCGCTTCTATGGCGCCAGCAGATACTCCAGTGGCAAGGACTCGAACCTGGTATCGGAGCGGATCGCCACCAAAAGCGTAGTTGTCAGACACATGAAGCGGTGAGTCCTCTCGCTCAAGTAGTGTAGGGCATTGGAGGCGCAGGCGGCTTCCTCTGTACTCGATATCCTTGGAGTGCCATCCAAATGCAGCCGCTCGATCAGCAAGGGTAAAGGTGATTCGACGCGTGACACTATCGTAATGTGTGCGTTTCGCCGCGCGAACCAGCGTGCGAGTTAAGATCGCCTCCGGCGTTTGGTCTTGCTTGTCCTCTAATAGCTGGAGAAGTAAAGTCTTCTCGGCGATGAAGCGAGGCATACGAATCTTGGGGGGAATAATCGCAACAACACTTCCTTCGAGGTAAGCCTCAAAAAAATCAAGCATAGCCACTCGCATAACACAAGTGTGTGTACACGATAGAAACCCTGGAGGGCTAGGAAGCACGATGCTTCCCATAGCTTGCATCAAATTTGTCGTTCGCATTGGATTCATCTCCGATTATTGTTCGCACACTGTTCGAGGACTCCAAAATAAAATGCCTGAGCAACACGTCGATCACGACCTCATATCCAGGACGTATCCTTCCGTGTCTTCCTAAGAGATCTTGAGTACCAAACATTTTTAAAGGACACCCATCTCCTTGATCGACAGTGCCCATATCCCCGCAAAAACACCTATTAATCGCGCACATCTTACTTTTGTGACAAGAAGGTTATTTACGTACACTCCGACGATGGTCCATTCTTTGCCTTCGTGCTTAATGTATAGGGACATGTCCGTTGTGCAGTTCTTGTAATGTGGTATCGTATTTAGGTATAATTTGTATTACAACAGCCTCAACGCACAAACAAAACAATGGCCGAGATTTGTCGGCGCACGGCTGGTTCGTGAGGGTAGTATCCGACGCGGTTCGCCCCTTCGGGGATCAGTTGTGGCTCTCGCCTCCTTGATCCCCTAAAACCAATTTCTCCGTAAGTCTGCCTGAGCTCAGCAGCTCATAACCCTTACACTCCCTGTGAATGCACACTAAAGGATGAGGATGACACTCACACGTTTTTACAGGTTCAGGGGGTGCAGTATCCTCTTGACTAGAAGAATTGCAATACTCTCGGCTAGGGCCCACCGTCTCGTCACTAACAAAAGTATTCTAAAATATGGGCCCTTTTCTTAAGGCTCTCTGACTCGTCGTCGACTAGACTCAAAACGTTTCCTTCACTTGATTAACCATTTTTTCAATGACGAGACCCCTCTATCGTTAGTAGCGAGCGCTGCCTCACCCGGGACTTTCTAAAATCTTGGCGCTACCATTCGATAGATCTACAAGCTATGCCTATCGAGGTTCGACGGCAGGCATAATCTAGCCTACGTGGGGACTTATCTCTAATGAACGCGTGTCTTCGACTTCGAAAATTCTGCACTGTATTAATTTATCTATTTTATATATCGCAGTGCCAGTTTCAACGGCCCTCTGTCATTCCATAGTTCATGTCCAAATAGATTGATACATATTTCTTTTAATCTTCTTGCATTTTAAACAACAAACAGAGGTCGCAGACACTTAAGACGCCGAAAACTGAAGTAGATGAAACTAGAGTCACCGACATCCGAATCGCTGGTAATTAGGTCGCCGGTACTTGAGGTGTCGACTTTCGTCACTGTCCTTTATAGTCGCCGACACTTAAACCACTGTCACTCGAGCCGTCGACATTTAAGTCGTCGACATTTAAGTCGCCAAATTTGTCGGTGCCAACCCTTGATTCGCCGCTCTCGGTTACCTTAGTCCCGAACTAATATCATGAATTTAGAATTATTAACATTATAACTGCCCCAGTTGCGATACGAACCTAACGGGTAAGTGTCTTGATCATTATCTTCGCCGCCGCTTCTGCTAGTCATTCCAGACCGTTTTTACTGTACCATGGTATGATCTACTATAATGCTTCTTTCCTTACTTCTCGTTATAGCTGTCAATTTGTACTCTGCTCGGTAGTATGTTCTATGTTGTGTCTTGAAGGCTGTGGACGATCCACCATCGACGACTCACGGGACACGACTTGGACCTAATTCTTCTCCGTCATTTATTCTTGCTTCGTCCGCTCTGTCGGTAGTCGACGGAGCGACTCGTGACCAGGGACAATCTTCCTCGTCGACTTTAGCCATGGGTGAATCGTCGAGCCTGGACGACGTACACAACATTCGTCGAAACGGCTACTTGTTATCCTTTTGTGCGAACCTGTCTCTGCCGGCTCCACCCAGGCTGAGACTTCCAGCGACCATAGGTCTGGATCATCGCTAGATTTACTGAATGTCGGTCGCCTCCCCTCGAGCTTCGACGATCTCATGCACCGTCGAGAAGTCGAATTGCTCCGGGTGATCGCGACGTTGATAGAATCTACTCTCTCACTTCTCGACACGTCGTTAAGGCAATCAAAATTCCGAGTTGCACGCTGATTAACTTTAATTTGTTGATGGCCGCTGACGTTGCTCCGGCCACTCCGCAGACATCGCGGCTCTGTGCGTGGCTCTTTCCCATGCTCACCTAGAGACTGCTTTCCTTCGCCGACATATGCAAGCTGTTGTCTCGAACTCGGTAGACCTGCAGAATAGATTATCAACGACCGAGAAAGAGTCTAAGACTTGAAGTCCAAACTTTTCAAGACGATCGAATTGATCGACTAATTGCTCAAGTCGATATACTCGCTCGAGTCATGTGAGCGACAGACAGCCACGAACCGGTACAATAATCCTCCATCAACCGAGCGTAAGGTTGCCGAGACGTCCGCTAATATAGCGGAACGTGATCGCCTGATCAACCATCTTACGCGTGACCTCGCCAATGCTAAAGCGCGTCATATCACTGGAAAGGGCGTTGCCGCTGGGTACCTTCGGCAACTCCAAAATTTAACGATGGCCTTGTGCGACGGGGACAGTCATGTGCTCCGGGTATTTCGACGAATCGGCATCAGTCAACAAGAGGTCATCCGACAACAAGTAATTCTGCTGCATCGTGGAAACATCTATCGTCCGCTGTATCAGAACATTACGGCGGCTGGTATAGGTGGCGTGGACGTTCCGAACTTTTATCTGTAAGATATGTATATCAACTCGCGGTTGTTTCGGCTTTTTGTGATTCGGTTTCCGGACGTCATTGCGTTCGATATGTCGACGACGTTTAAAAACATTGTTTTGCGGCTCATGCCTTCGTCTGTTGATTTCATCACGTCATCGATGGCTTGGGCGACTCTGATGGATCCACCTTGTCGAGTTGCTTCTCTGGCATCTTTGCAACTCTTAGCTTCTTGGTCTAGACAACGGAATTTAACACTTTCCCTCTTCCGTGAGTCCCGTTTGTTTGACATCTACGTTGTCGTCTGATGTGGCTGTCGGCGAGCTGTACTCATCGGCGGTATCTTCTCTAGCTTATCTAGGATGACGATCAGCTTCTTTTGATTCTCCAACAGATCTTAGTGTACTCAAGTATCCAAATTCGTCTTTTTGGTCGGCGTGGTCATCGACGGCTAGGTCAGTATAGGTGGTGGCCTTTGCATTATCGGCTCATTTAAACGCCTTTTCATGGTGCGGGATCATCGGCTCATGAGCTTGATGAATCGCCTCTGACCGAGCCTAAATCTTATGCTAAGTCAGCTATGACGCCCATTTCCGCGTTTGAGGTAATAATACTCGCTAAAAATGCTGTTTCGTCGACTACGTCAAGGTGTTAGCGTCTAAAATTAGCAGGGAAGAGTAGTTCTGACGTACAATCACCTTTTACATAATCTCTCACCCCCTCGCGTCGCCATAGGCAGTTGCAACGTCCAAGTCGCGTCAAAATGTGGATGCAATCCGCCTTCGAGTCACCAATGTTCAACCGCGTCATCCAAGAAGGTCAAGGCTCTAAAGATTATGCGCGACAGAAGACGTCCAAGGTGGCCGGTAAAACTGCTACTGCAGCCTCATCACTTCCCAGTATATAAACTAACCGATATTCAGCCACCGTGTCTCTTCAACCACTCGCTATTGCTTCTGTGCTGCCGGCTTATCCCCCAGCTGCTCTGATTCCTGGCTCGTCGATCATCGTCGCGACCACTCCATCTATTAAAGCCGAACCTGAAGTGGTGTCATCGATATCGCCGACCACCGTCGTTGTTTTTGCTAGTGAGTCTTCCGTCGTTCCCGCAAGCCGGTCGTCTGCCAGGTCGTCCAAGCATTAGCATCCATCAAGTTCTTGCGTTCGCGCTCCAGACGATCCGTCTGGTAGCGCAGATATGATACCTCGGAACTCAACCGAGATATCTACCCGCGAGCTGTCGCCAGCTCGCCGAATAGTGAGCGGACATCCCGCTCGACCTGAAGCTGCGCTGTGGCATAATCGGCGCGATCCCTAGCCCGGTCAGTCTCGT